CCTGCATGATCTTCATGTCCGGGCGGACGTTGCTGAAGATGGTGGGCTGGATGAAGTAGCCCTTGTCGCCGTGGCGCTCGCCGCCGGTCTCGACGGTGGCGCCCTCGTCCTTGCCGGCCTTGATGTAGCCCATGATGCGGTCGAACTGCAGCTGGGAGACCTGGGGGCCCTGGAAGGTCTCCGGGTGGAAGGGGTCGCCGACCTTGTTCTTCTCGGCGCGGGCCTTGAAGGCGGCGAGGAACTTGTCGTAGATGCCCTCCTGGACGAAGATGCGGGTGCCGGCGCAGCAGCACTGGCCGTGGTTGTAGTAGATGCCAAAGTTGACCCAGGAGATGGCCTGCTCAATGTCGGCGTCGTTGAAGACGATGTTGGGGGACTTTCCGCCGAGCTCGAGGGTGACCTTCTTGAGGTTGGAGCTGGCGGCGGCCTTCATGATCTGGCGGCCGACGAGGGTGGAGCCGGTGAAGGCGATCTTGTCAACGTCCATGTGGGAGGAGAGGGCGGCGCCGGCGATCTTGCCGAAGCCGTTGATGAGGTTGAAGACACCGGGGGGGAAACCGGCCTCCTTGATGAACTGGGCGAAGACGAGGGCGGACAGGGGGGTTTGCTCGGCGGTCTTCATGACGATGGTGTTACCCGTCGCCAGGGCGGGGGCGATCTTCCAGGAGAGCATGAGGAGGGGGAAGTTCCAGGGGATGACCTGGGCGCAGACACCGATCTGGAGAGAGAGTTTTTGTTAGCTCGCGGTTCCATGCTGTACTGAGATTGACTGCAACTTACAGGCTCGGAGCGGGTGTAGTGGAACATGTCGTGGGCAACGTCAATGGTCTTGCCCTCGATCTTGTCGGCCCAGCCTCCGTAGTATCTCAAGCAGCCGACGACGGCACCAACATCGCCCTTGGCCATGGAGATGGACTTTCCGTTGTCGAGAGACTCGACGGCGGCCAGGAGGTCGGTGTTCTTCTCGGCAATGTCGGCGAGCTTGTTCAGGAGGTAACCACGCTGGCTGGGGGGGACCTTTCTCCACTCGCCCTCGAAGGCCTTGCGGGCGGCGGCGACGGCGATGTCGACATCCTTCTCGGTGGCCTCGTGGACGGAGGTGATGACCTCCTCGGTGGAGGGGTTGATGACCTCGAAAGTCTGCTTGTCAACACCCTCAACCCACTCGTTGTTGATGAAACTAGAGAATCACAATATGTTAGCCTTTTGGTGTTTTCGAGGTCGCCATTGCTCGCGGGGTAAGCGGCGGCGGGATAAGGGTTGAGGGGTAGAGAATACGCACAGTCCAGTAGGTTGGGTGTAGGCGCCCGTCACCGGGGTCTTGAGCTCAACGGACAAACCCATTGTGTGTGATTTTTGTGGAAAACAAGTACGAAACGTGGAGGGGTATTTGGTATCACGGAAGAAAGAAGAAAAAGTTTGAATTGGGATAGTATTGAGAGTTGAGAGTAGTGAGAAGTGAGAGAGTAAGGGAAGAAACTGGAGAGAAGAAGCTGGGGATCACAGACTGTATATAAAGCGGGGTCCGGGGGCACAGAGAAGAGCAGAGGAACAGAGCTGGGGGAGAGAAGTCCGAAAGTGATACGGTATACCGCGCGGCGCAAAGGCAGTGGAGGGACGAAATGTGAGAGACCTGGAGACCGGAGCGTGAAGGGTCAAGGAGGCGAAGGCGATACCTTGCTCAACAGGAGTGGGGCCCGGGGGGGGGGGCAGGAGGGTGTACGGATGGAGGGGAAGACTCCAGACTCAGAGTAGGGTACTGCGTAAGGATGAGGGGAAGGGGAGTCTGGAGTGTCTGCAAGATAGTAACCTAGCACTAAAACCGAGGCCTGTTCTATCCGTACTTGGTACCGGAACCGCAGATTGGATGGGCATTGGATGAAAGGGAACGTGAGAGAATCCCCCCCATGGACCGGAGCAACGTCAAACACGGTCATTCGGTGGGCTGGACTGGACTTGAGATCTCCACATTGGGGAGCCAGACACGCATCTGCATGCTGTCAATGGACGGGGGAACACTGGGAGTATACCAGATACTGACAAGCTAGGGTGGACTACCATACAGTAATCGATTTGTTAGTGTTGGAGGGGAGAAGGGAAGAAGGGGAGAAATGGAGGGGCAGCAACTTGCAAGGGATGGATGCAAGATGGGGCCTTGAGCTAAGGTAAACGGGGAAAGGTGGGTGCCGCTTCGGGCCAACGCCTGGCTTTCCTTTCCTTTCCTTTCCTTTCCTATCCTTTGCTTTCCTCTCGGCCACCTCAAGGCGAGTCTACTCGTCCCCTTTCCACCGGGCGAGCAATACGCTATCCACCGGTGCGTTGCTGTGCTGCGCTGGCTGACAGCAGGCCCTGCACAGTAATAGACTAGGAATCAGCGAGTGGTCTAGGACTAGAGGAGGATTATCACTAGGTGATGCCTGGTTGACTCGGCCCAAGTTTACCAGAATGTCACCCAGGGGGGGGGGTTGTCACTGTGGGTTCCGTTCGGTGGGAATTGAGTTCCGCGTTCCCATTCCCTGGGGCCCCAGGTTAGGAAGAAGAATCGCGAAACTGTCGTGGTGATATTGGACTACACAACAGAAGGCTTTGAGGTGAGTTGTGCTCGAACATGTGTCAGTTGCTGGCTTTCGTTTTCTCTCTTCTCGCCTCTGTACTGCAAATATGTATCATGCTTGTTTGCTCTTGTTCTTGAGATGTATATGAGAGGTTGCCACGCCCCAGAGCTACCTACAAACCCCTCTCCGCTTCCCCTCTCTTGCAGTTTGTCGACCCCGCATTTTCTCCATCACAAGTTGCGTCTTCCATTGGGCAACGAACCAATCAGCACATTTCAAATTGCTGGTCTTGTCTGGATGCAGCAGCCACACCCGCTTCAAAGCGCTTCATCACACACACCAAACATCTTCTTTTTGTCTCTCTCTACTATGATTATCCCACAGCTATTGAATCTGGCCGAGGGGTCCTGCTTAGGATACTATGACAAATGGCATCACCTAGGGAACAGACGGCCTTCTGCGCTGCTGCTACTCCTCGCCGATCCCTGCCACCTACCGTGCTCACGGTGCAACTATGCTACTGTAGCTGAGCAGCTATCAAACACATCGGAATTCAAGCTCGGGACCAATGTGTTGTGGCCATAGGTAGTACGCTTAGAAATGCCGAATCAAAAGTATAATTGCTATAACCCCGGATTCTTTCGGCATGAAGCCATCCTCCAAGAGATGATCAGACGGTTAACTCTTGGATGCCCGTTGCGTTGTTTGCTCCCAGTTGTACTCCGTACGTAGTAAGCTCTGTATGGATGGGCGGAAGTTCGCCGCCGCGTGTTTTCAGATGCGTTCCGAGCGGTTTGCCTGCAGTCAGCAACTTGAACGACACCCCCAACATACAGTGATGCCCAAAACCATTCCCTGACAATCGAGTCAGAATGACGGTCCCGTTCCAGCCCGGCATACGCAGTATGGGATAAGCAGTATGGGACGAAACACAGTTCCTCACACTTCGACTTCGTCGTTGGATGCCCCAGAACTTTGCCTGGCCCATTTCCCCTCCACCCCACCTTTTCATTCCCACCTTGACGACACACGCACGCGTTCTTTACAGCGTACCGCCGTACCTTACGTCTCTGCTCGGTGGCTGGTCGTGAAATGTTGGGGCCCCGGGCCCCCGACCTGCCACCTTGAAGGTTACCGGTAAGATTGAGATTACCTACCTGTTTCTTCGGACTTCTCCATACCGGGCTCTGCACACTCTGGAGCCTGGATACTGGGGCGCGGACACGGCATACCTAAACCCCCGACCCCACCACCCATGTACATCTCCAAGTTTTTTTTTCACGGTGTCTTGGCTCGATCATCCGCGGCACCTAAAGTCCACGCCTACACCTCCAAGGGGGAGGCAGGGTAGCTCCGTCGTGCGGCGTTAAGCAAATGTTGTGGACGAGATAACGGGGTTCGAAATACTAAACATTGGCTCGGGAGAAGACTACGGTACTTAATTGCCACGAGCTTTCGAGTTTTCGAGGTTTGAAACTCCTCTCTCTCGGGGTGTCTTTACTGCCTATTCCCCGGGCCTCACTCCTCGGTGCAAATGACAGCGAACGACCCTTTTGCTCAGAGATCCCCCGCACCAAAGAAACCCAAAGGGTGGATAAAGGTTTATTAGCTAAGCCCGCAAAGGGGTCTCAGGACAGTGAGATGGGAATTCGCGGCGTTTGCAGAGTGATATATCGACATCCCCCGATATCGAATGCACGCCCCCCCCCCCCCCTTCCTCTTCGTTGCCCCTCCATCGAATTCCTGCCGCGCCCCCGACCCGAATCCCCCTGTCGCGCTTCCTTTGCTGCTTCCTTGTCCCCGACATCATTCGACAGCAACGAACCCTCTTGGCCGAAGCGCTTTGCTTCAGTGCCACAGTGCTTCCTGCTGGGGATTTTGTGGGGTGAGCTTTTCTCAGTCTCTTCGGTCTGATGGCAGTTTCACAGCACGGCTACATGGAGCTCTCTTCATTGCCTTGTTGTCTCTGTCTCTTATTCTGTATACCCCGGCCTATCTGTATCGTGTTTACTCCAGCTGAACGCGGGACCGCAAATAGGTAGATCAGGTAACAACCCATCTATCAAAGTTTTTGCGAATCGCATGTATCGTGTCAATAGCTATGAATCAACATACTTACGCAATGTCAATCCTTCTGACACTTGAGACGAGATAGGTCCCATAACATGTCTTCAGCCCTGCACGTAACTGTATTCGTCCAACACTGCATAAACTACAGTCCCTAGTCTCTTATGTAACCACTCGCCCCCAAACTGGTCGGAATCACTCTTTCCACCCTCAGTTCCGACAAACATCAAAACTTCCAAAATCCGTTCCGAACAGCAGTTGCCATTTCTGTATGCACTCAAGAGGGATTCCTTCGCGCGGAACCCGAACCGGGCCCTGCGTCCGAAAGAGAAACCCAGCTTGCTGCTTGTCAACGCCAAGAGCCGAGACATTCAAATTCCCCCATCTCCATCGTCCATGGACCCCATCCCATGTCCCGTGAGGCTGCGAACCCGCCCGCCGCCTTGCTTCACCTGTGCGGATCCGCACTTGCATTTCCCACAAGCGTCGGTTGTGATTTCTCATCGATTTCTATTTTCTGGGGCTGCCGCTACTACGGAGCACACCCTTGCTCAAAATGTCAATGGTCCAAGTTGCTAGGCGCCACTCACTGTCTTCCCATTTCTTGGTCCAATAGACGCGGTGCGATCTGGTTCACTGTTTCTCTTGTTGATGATTTGGGGATTGTGGAATAGCGGATGGTCCCAACTTCCTACGCTAAGCCGCCCTCCACAAGCCCGCCGGGCGGTGTTTGGACAATCTGGTTGATCCCCGGATCCCCGCACTTTTGCGGCTCCTTTGGACAGATACCCCGTGACCACCATCTTTTCCCTCTGTCCGTACGGATTGTGTCAGCTGTTGTTGGGTTCAACGAGATGCTAGTTTGATATCATAAACCACTGTTCATCTGGAGCAGCTTTATTTTCATCACGTTTATGAAGTAGATGTGACATCTGTTGGCATACCAAGCCCTTCGCTCGTGGTGTAAGTCAATTATGCAGCCGGACGGCCCCATCTGCGGGCATCTGCGGCAACCCTCTACAGGAACCGCTCACCCGGTGCCTGCTACCAGTAGCGAAGACCATGCAATTGATGAGTCTGTCAGCTGGAGTTGTCCAGAAAGCCTATCACCTCACGAGAACATTTGACGATGGCTGTGTGATGACGACCGTGATGGCCGTTCGCCCTTACTTGATAACCATGCATGATGAGGTCTAGACGCCGAAGCGTTATCCCCGCCAAGGGTTCATGCCGTCGAAGGCAAAGCAGCTTGGATTACAATATCGATTAAGGGGTCCTTTCAGAGCAGTGTACCCGACGAATCAGGTTCAAGACAGGATGTTTGTTGTCTTTGGACACGCCCCCCGTAGGCAAGAGTACCGACATGCTGGCTCCCAAGGACTCAACCGGCTCTCATGTACCTCTCGTCTTGGAACCCTCGTAGCTTTGCAGCTTTGTAGCCAATGGCAAGTCAACCTGATCGTTTTAATACTTGACATGGAATACAACTCGCTAGCCCAGGTCGCTTGGCGGAAGCTGGGGTTTGGTACTGAGTGACGAGCCATGCTCCTCTACCGCACCTCCTCTACCACAGCGAGTATTCGGACTGGTTTGACTGTTGAAGCTCGAACTGAAATTTGCGATGCATCTGCGTGGATCAGTATATAACTCCACGGTCATCGCACTAAGTGCTCTTCAAAGTCCGTTCTCTCGGTTTGTATAAGTGAATGTTGTGGCCGTGAGGCATAGCAGAATTCCCTATCCTGTCGTCTATTCGAGCAAGCCTCCCCTTGCAACCCCCAGCAGTATTGTTCATAGATGTGACATCCATTTCGGCTGCCATCCGTGTCTCCTCCGCATGTCTGTGACTTGCAACTCACTGCTGATCGTCCTCGGCTAGCCCCTCGCCCGTCAGTGACATAGCTGTTGAAAGGATGTACCCAGCCTTGAGCAGCCCAAAGTCTGGGAGATCTTCCTTCTTGGCCGCAGCAATGTCGAACTCGTAGCCGTCCTCAATGTACTCGCGTGTTTCAAGGTGGACCATGCGAAGAGGTTTTCCAGACTGGGTGAGTCTCTCCCGAGAGACCATGCGGGGATCCATGTTGAGGTACACCACGTCGGTATAATGCCATCGGACTGATTCGGGCTTGCCAAGGCTATGATCCTTTTCCTGATCAAACATGAGTTCTCTGAGCCATCTAAGTCGGAGTCGAATGGAGCCGTCGGTTTGTGAGATAGGCTCGAAGGCAATCCACGCCTTCGCCCACCACTTCGAGAGTGTATCGTTGAGGGAGATCATGTTCGCCAAAGAGAAGACGCTAGCCGGCGACTGTAGAACAGCGAGATACTTGCGAATCTCCAAGCCGAAAATCTCTCCCGAACCTTTATGCAAGATATAATCCAACGAAACGGCAGTTTGCGAAGAAGGAAAAGAAAGGACTAGACAAGTCTTAGGGTCGGCAGATTTTGTGACAACGCAAGTGCTCTCGTCTCGGAGTAGAGAAGCGGACTATACAGATCAGTACCTGCACAAATATGCTTGCGGGCTGTGTGTAAACTTACCGTAGCCTATTTGATATCGCCTTCCGGGTGGTCCTTTCTTCTAAACGTGTTGAGGACATGCTGGAGCTCGTGAGTTTTAGCCCGAAAGGAACCAGGTTTGGGAAACACTAGTATTCACCCGTGTTAGCTCGCTGATCTCTCGCAAAGTGTTTTGAGCAACTCACGCTCTGCAATCATCCTGGACTTTGCGAACGGCCTCCATCGGCGCCATCATGAGCGATGCCCATACCAATTTGTCCACTCATTCCAGGTCTATTCTATGAGACTTGCAATGGGCCGAATGCGAACTGCGGCACCAAGACTTGGCGAGTTCAAGTCTTGCGTCAATGTCGCTGAGATAAGAAATATTGGGAAGGAGAGCATCCCGTAAAGCGTCGATGTGATCATGCTTGGTGTCCGGATGGTTCAGGTAACGCCTCAATCTTCCTAGCAGAACTTCTTTGCGCTTGCCTAGCAGCTTCCTGTCTGCTTCCGGGTCTTCTTTGTTGGTGCCCGAAGGACCATCTTTGGCCGACATGTCGAAGTGCTTTCCGATTCTGAGTTAGGTAGATAGGCATCTTGATCACTTGCGAACGAGGGAAAGAAAGTGATGTGTCAGTGGCAAGGGAAACAACGAGAGTGAGTACTAAGGTAGGTATCTTGTCTGATTAAATGAAATGGTGCAAAAGCGGAAGGCATGAGGATCGAACTTGATTCGCGCCTGAGAGGAAAGAACGCCAGACTGGTCAATCATCGCGAGGAAGGAACGACCAAGTGGGCGAAGCATCAATCATAGCATGGTAATGGCCCTTGGGCTCGTACCTGCTCAATTGAAGCAAACAGCCATTTGAGCCTAACTCCAGGCTCCAAACTGAGAGATGGAGTAAGACTCTTCGATGTTACAACCACCGACTTACACGTAATGTGCACCACGTTTCGAGTAGAGAATGAGTGTCCATACTCTTGATGAACGCTTAAATTTTAGGAGAATGCTTGACATAATGATGAATATCCTGCTGAGAAAGTTTGTCAAACTGTGAGAAGGAACTCTTCCATGTCGGTCGTGATTGGCAGAATGGGCCAGTGACATATCATGTTGATCCCCTGGTCATCAATCTCCAAGAACCCCAGACTTAAGGGGTGAATCTGGGGAATGACGTCATGCGGGATGGCAGCAGTATGATTGTCCCTGAAGAAAAGGTAGGTCCGTTGCTGGGTGACAGACTGTATCATTTGAGCATTAACAAAAGAGAGTATGCGGTGAGAGACAAGGCATGTGATTTACTATCCAGGTAGGATGAGGTTTGAGTGGTTCTATTGGCCCATTCCTGAGGCAGAAAAGGATTCGACAACAGCCTACCCAGAAGGTTTTGAGCTTCCCGTCTTTGAGAACGGAAAAATTGAGGGGTTGGGATGGCCATCTGGATTCGGCGTGCAGGTGGACGCGGCCCCGAGGGGCAGGGGACAAGAAAAAAAAAATCGTTGCGATAAAGTGGCTGAGTGGAGACTGAACGCATGGACCAAGTTGCATTTTGATTGCGCTGGCCAATCAGCAGTCATTTTTTACTGGGAAGCAGCGGTGAATTTTTTTGAGAAATCGCTCCTTCCTGTGTATCGGGAGTGACATCTTCTTTGGGGCAGATTATAAGGGCATCGGCGCTCGGATTTTCTCCCAAAAAGTTTTTCCGCCTCTGTCCAAGAAACGTCAAGATCACGACTGACCCCCCGCCATTGAGCTGCACGGTGACTAGACTGACCGCAAAAAGCTGTCTCCGTGCTTCTCGATGCTCATGGAGGGCATTGAAGCTATTGCCGAGTCGGCTCAGGCCGCAAAGCCTGAGGCGCACTCGCCAACAGGTATGCGCTTGCCTTTCCCGCCATCCCACCAAGCAAAAGATCTTCACCCGGCCACGAACCGACTCGCACGCACCCGAGGGACGCCTTCGTAAGCGTCGCAAATCATGCTGACTTGCCGTAGTAGGACCAGAAATGAAACAAGAGTCCCCGACTGTCACCACCAATCTGGGCGAGACCCCTCAGTTCCCGCTGAAGCGACCCCGCGATTCGAGCGCAGACGACCCCGAGGCCGAGTCCAAGAGGCTGAAAGTTGACGACGATCAACCACACCAACAGACCCCGGAGCAACAATCCCTTGAGAAATCACTCGAGCAATCACTCCAGGAATCACTCGAGAAGTCAATCGAGAAGTCGATCGAGAGATCACTCGAACAAGCATTCGAAGAGTCTCAAGAGCAATCTCAAGCGCAATCCCAAGAGCAGCCTCGAGAGCAGCCCCAAGATCAACCCCAAGAGCTACCACAGGAGCAAACTCACGAGCAACCTCAGGAGGAAAACCATGACGACCATGCAGCTCTCGATCTCGGATTTGACATGGACGCCATGATCCAGGGTGTAATGATGGACATCAGCAACGAGATGAACAACGAGATGAACAATGAGATGAACAATGAGATGAACAATGAGATAGGAAAGGTCGAGGGTCTGGACGGCGTCACTGATGTCGATATGACGGCAGATCATTTGGCGTCTGTGTCGCAAGATTCTGCCCCGTCAACTGACACGCATGCCATTGTTCTCTCTGAGCCTTCGGCCTTGATGAGGCGCATAACCACCTCCTGTTTGTCAAACTTTGTACGTGGCGGTCTCGTCAGCTCTGGAGGCGCCGCTAATCGTTTCTCAATCTTCAGGCTATGCAACTTCTCGTAATCATGTCGCAACATGTCTACCACGACGTTTACCAGCAGTTACAAGACAGGGAATCAGACCTCTGCAAGTCCTTTAGCACACTCAAGTCTCTGCTCCGGCAAACCCGATCGATTTACTCGACGACCGACCTTATCTTGGACCCCGCGATGCTCGACCTGACTGCGCCGGATAACCTCACCGATATCCAAGTCGCCAACCTCGCCAGCTTCTGTTGCGAACTTTTCACCTTCGACGGCGAACACCAACTCAGCTCGAACGAGCTCTTGGCTCTGGAAGACAAATTTTTCACCGTCTTTCCGCCAGGCACCGAGGGCATTTCGCACGATATCTCTGAGCTCTTCCTTGCAGTTAAGACACAGCTAGTCATCGAGTCCGTGACATCAGCAAATCAGTCTGGGCCTGTTGACCAGTTGATTGCCCAGGCATTCTCGTCCAGCCTGGAAGATAAGCTAAAAGCAAGACATGAAGGATCTGAGTTGACTGCTGAAGAGAGAACTCTGGTGACATCTGTGGAGGAGCGCAAAACGTCTCTGATTACCTACGCGTCAGGACTCCCAGATACTGGTAAGTTGTCGAGTGCAAAGGCTGATGAGGCCTGTGACTGATACATTGAGTTAGTTCTATTGAAGATCGGCTATCCGGAGGAAGATCTCTTTCACCAACTGAACGTGTACCTGCGCCAAAAGCTGCAGTCGCTCTCTGGATTGGCCTCAAGGCACGGCATCGATCTTCCGCAGATAATGACGAACGGAGACCTCGACGCATCGATGCCACCCGATCTCGACGATCTCGGAATCTCATCATTACTGGAGGCCACAGACGGACTTGTTGCGCAATATCTCCCTAGTGAACCGGTCGATGGACTACCTACCGAACAACAGCCGCCAGTTCCGACTACTGAAAGCAGTGTCCCACCCCCCGAACCACCTGCGCCTGCGCCTGAAGCCGCTCCCCCGGCGCCAACCACAAATGGTACCACGACTGAAAGTCAAGACGCGACGAATGATATTCTCGCGCTTGTTGCACAGAGCACACAGGAGTACGTTCGAACTACACTCAACAACCTGTCTCCAGCGCCCTATCAGCCAACCGTACCCACACCGACGGGCGCAGCTCCGGTTACGCAGACGACATACCTCTCACATCTGCAACAAACCCAGCAACAATCACCATACTACGGATACCCGCCACCAGTGGAACAACCGCCGCAGCCTGCGGCTCATGAGAGTAACGAAAAGCTACCTCCTAGTCAGAGCCTACCTAGTGCTGTGCTCTACGACAGGGCCCGCCAAGCTGCCTTGAGCAAGACCAATAACCAGCAGAGAAGAGAAGGCACCACTTCGACAAGACGCCCATGGACTCAAGAGGAGGAGAAGGCCCTTATGACTGGCCTCGACATGGTCCAGGGACCTCACTGGAGCCAGATTCTATCTCTGTTTGGTGCAGAGGGCACTCTTTCCAACATACTGAAAGATCGAACGCAAGTCCAGCTCAAAGACAAGGCCCGGAACTTGAAGCTCTTCTTCCTAAAGACAAACTCCGAGATGCCGTATTATCTGCAAGCTGTTACAGGCGAGCTCAAGACAAGGGCACCTACACAAGCAGCCCGCAAGGAGGCTGAGGAGCGAGCTAGGATGAATTCAGAGGAGGAGCAAGCTCGGGTACAGGGCATCATGACACTGGCGGGCGGGTTACAACATCCTCAGCATCCCCACCACCCTCAACATGCACACCACCCTCAGCATCCACAGCATGTACAGCACGCACAGCATGCGCAGCACCTTCAGCAGAATAGAGCAAGTGTAACACCAGCGACTGCACCGAGCACGCCGTCACAGTCTGCCGCCCAGGTCTCGCATCACATGGCCGCCCATGCGACGACACCGACCCATGCTGCTGTAGCGGGCCCGCCCGCCACGCCGGTACAAGCAACACCGACGCATGCTCGAGTTTTACCGGCCTCCTCACCATATGCCGCAACCGCTGCTCAATTACAAACATCTCACAGCTTGCCACAAACTCAGCCACAGACGCCGACGCATTCCCACGTCCAGCATCACTCTCATCCGGGAACGCCACAGTCGCAACACCATTCTCAACAGCCGCAGCACCAACCTCAGCAGCAGCATATCCAGCCTCAGGTCTCCCAAGCTGCTGAGACTGCGCCCAATTACACGACCGAGTCATCCGCAGCGGTCTACAGCCAAGAGACCGAAGATCTCAAGGAAGCCGCTCTTATGCA